TGTGTATTTTTTCATAAAATTTTGAAAAATAGAAAGGAGGTTATATTAAACAAAGAATTATATATATATATGGTGGTAGAATTCAAAAATCGAAATTTTAACAATGGAAATGATTAGTAATCATTGTCTACTACCATCTATAGATATGTGTACATAGATAGGTATCAAAATTCAAAAAAGAATATTACGTACTTGATTATTAATTATTGTTTTAATTTCCTTTTTAAATTTAGACATACATCTATATATAGTTATTTTTCTTATACTAACCACATCCTGTGCCTATAAGTGCAAGCGTGAAGGCGTTAATTGAAGATGCTTATTATCTTCAATATAACAAGGTATAGGATGAATATGGTATTGATATTTGGTTCGAATCTGTAAAATGATATTAGCTAATTTGATCTCATTAGAAGCAAGAACAGATTCCTTTAGTGTATATTTAGTTTTTAATTTTTTAGATTTTTTTTTTGATGTTTCTTTATTAGAATCGCTATCTTCTTCAAGTAATTCCTATAAATATAATTAAAAAAATTATATTGGTTTAAAATATAATAGTCTATTATAATATGAATCTACATATCTAGACTTTCGTTTATTAGATTCTAATGTAATATATAGCACCATGAATTTTTTTGAACTTAGATTTTTGCACTCAGTAATGAATACATCATAATCATATTCTTCATCTAATGCTATCGCATGATCTCGTCCGTTTACTTTATAAGAAATTTCTATATTATTTTTATCAATTTTGTTATTATGATATTTACGAATATGTTTTATAAGATCATTATAAAACATATCAAATCCATTTAAATAAAATTTAAACCATTTTGCAGGCGTTAGCATAAAATTTTTAACATTAATAATGACCTTAGCTTGTAGTTCCAAATACAGATCTGAACTATTATCTAAATGCAGATCTGAGCTATTACCTGATAATATATAGTTAGTTAAAAAATTTACATTATTAACAAAATCTAAGTCACTATTTGATAAACTAGAGTTTGTTAAAGAATCAGAATCTTCAACAATAATATAGTTAGCACTGGTTGGAAAAGGAGTTTGTATCAGCATGGTTAAAAAGGGTTTGTATTGGCACCGATTGGAGAGGGTTTTGTATTAGTACTAGTTGAAGAGAAGTTTGTATTAGCACCAGTTAGAAAATAGATTTGTATCAGCATGGTGGGAGAAGGATTTGTATCAGCATCGGTTAGAGAGGGGTTTGTATCAGCACCGGTTAGAGAGAGGTTTGTATCAGCACTAGTTGAAAAGATGTTTGTATTTTTTAAACTTTTTTTGAAACATGTATAGCGGCTATGACAATTATTACAAAAACTAAGTTTAAAGTTTTTATTAAAATCACAATTATAATCCAAATGATTATCATGATTTTTAAGAAATAATATTTGATTCAGATGTGAGTTGTTAGAATCATAAACTTGACTATAAACTTGATCTTTATTACTATGAGAAGGTTTTTGTGCTGTATTATATTCACATAGATCTTTAGCTAGATTTG